TTTTTTTTTGTTTTCTTAACAAATTCGGTTTTCTTTGCAAAAAAAAAAAAAAAGTACCTTGTTACGGCAAGCGAATTTGCTGTTAAACATTTATGTGTGAAACCTCCAGGAATGCCTGTAAAAGTGACTATTGCACGGACAATAAGCACGGGATTTTGCCAGCAGCAGGAAGAGTCAGATACATTGCGAGGACAGAGAGTGGATGAAGCGGAAGGTTAAGAAAACTGACCAAAAAGACTTGCATTACCCGTTAGGCAAATTTTTTAAAGCCTGAGTTGTGCAAAAAGAAATATTTTTTGAAGAAATTTGAAAAGAATTTAATCCAAGATTTACACAATTTATAATTATATTTGTTATCTCGTCTTCATCTTGCGTAATTAAGGTCGTCTCAAGTCAAAAGATAACTTCACATATCATTAGAAAAGTAACTTGCAAGGGGATTATGAACAGTGGATAAATGCACATTTATCTCTTCCTATAACACTGTGCCTACATAGAACTGTTCTATTCTAGCAATGCAGATATGAGGAGAAAGTCAGAAACTATCAACAGTAGCTTTTCCAACTGACATTTTTCTTGAGTTTATCTACAACTAAGGTGAGACTCAAGAAACTGCAATAGTGTCAGAAATTAGCTCATATAACATATAACCAATACCTTGTCTTAAAAAATATTGGAATTATCTGATAAAAATTAAGTAATTTTCGAGTGTCAAAAAAAGTAATTACACATTGTTCAAGTTGAAAATCTTTACCGATTCCATCATTCATATTGAACGACGAAAAAAAAAGTTCATCGATTCCATACGGCATTGCTTCCAGCCTGTTCATAAAATTTGTTACGTCGAGATCGTTTAACAGGTACTCAACAGACGATCGACTGAAACTTCCCTGTACTGAACCTTCAACAATATGAAACGTTTGATTTTTATTGAGGTTGAGATCTGAAACAAGAAGCAAATAAAATTTGTACGTAAAAAACAGAAAAAATTTTATCGTTTGTTCCTAACAACAGACCCCGAAAAATTTTTAAAGCATCGTATGTCCACACGTAATTTGGCGGAATTCTATTTTGATGCGGGAATTTCATCTCTACATCATTTGTTCCGTTAAGTATTCTGAGAATCTGGACCACTTCATGATTTGTTTTCAGTGGAACGTCATGATTCTAAAAAAAAATTGAGAGCGCATTTGATGTTAATGGTGAATTTAGCAAACGTACCAGTTTCTAGAAAATTTTTTGGATTTTTCCTGATGCTTATCCGTTAACTTTACCTTCTGCTTAACTCTAATAACAAATAACATAACCACGACACTGTTGTATTCAGACGTCATAAAAATTAAAATTCGCCTGTAGCAAGATAGCGTATTTCCACTTCGGCCTCTGTAACAGTAAATGTAAACAGTAAGTGAGACTTCTGACCATATTGTGACCCGGTTGGTCAACATTGAATTCCACATCACTTATTATAACGTTTTCGAAACATTTCCCCAGGGTTTTCATCTTGCTATGAAAACTTTCAGATGCCTTGTTGTCGATAGCGAAGCAGTAGTAATTTTGCGGGGCGTACATGACGTTGAACATCATTTCTTGAAAATGATAATCCTTAAATTTATTCTTTTATGTACTTTTCCATTCGTTTTTATGGTCATTTCTAAACAACTTCCCTGCTACAACTAATCTCAAATAAACAAAAAAAGTTTTTTAACCCTGTAGACAACGCGAGCATAAGCAATGGGGAAATCGGCTTCATCTTTGGACAGTGGCTCGTTATAATAGAATCCCCTCGCTTTAATCCCTTCACAATTTGTGTCATCGTCAAAATTCTCGTCAGTGACACCGTGTCGATGCTAAAAAAGTGCTCTTTATAGCTGCAGCTGCAGCAGAAATTTTAGTTTTACATGGAATAGCTTTGCACGCGAGCGTTTTGAAATAAAGTGGTACGGTAAAGATTCCTGATAAAATTAAAGTAAAATTAAAGCTTCTTACCTTACCAATTGCTACTGCAAGCTTTCGATTTGATAAAATTTCCTTGCAAGTTTGTCGATTAACGTATTTGTTTGTCAATATCTCTGGTATTAACTGATCATCTTCTATAGTAGCATCAAAATCATAATTTTCAGAATGCCAATTTAATGTCGTTATTAACAATGCAATAGCACCCAAAACAGTTATCAAGATTTTTAGCGGAACCTTTCTTGGTAGACTGAAAAGACTAAATTAATTATTACAAAAATATATTGTTCAGAAAATAAATCTGTTTTATCGCTTTTCTGTCACATTGTCTTGTTAATTTACGTATTCTGTGCACAGCATCCTGACAAGCCAACAAACAGATGCTAAGTAATATTTCTTTGTAAAGTTAGATAATTACAGCTATAAAGTGTTTAATACACAAAATGTTTACCATAATTTCCCTCGCCGCATTCTGAATACAATTTTATCTCCTACTGTTAAAAACAGTATTCCTTTTGTCCTAAAAAAAGTTTAGAGATTGAAGCTTTTGTTATGCGAGATATTGAGGTGCCACTTTTGTTAATGCGGTGTTGAAAAGGAAAGGCACAATTGATATTTTAAAGAGTAATTAACCCTACCTTTATTAAGAAGCAGGTAATGCAGTACGCTGAAATTTGCTGCATGAACTCACTGAGATTCAAAAGAGACTAACAAAGAAAATAAATACTATCAGTCTTTTTCAAATGCAGCAACGTTTCCGCCAATTCCATGTCAAGGACTAAAAATAGATAAATTCAACAATGATAAAAAAAGAAATTAAAAGATTAAGTGATGATATTATTCCACTGAGCATAGTACTAATCAAACTCTTGTAATTGAAATTACTCTCAAAACAGCAGCAATAATGACAACAATAATAATAATAAAAGCAACAAATAATGTTGATTGAAGATTGCAATAAAACAATGACATGCAATATCAGTTTGACTGATAAAACGATTGACGGAATTAATGAAGAGAAGAGATAGCAAGAAAAGAAATAAATATATGTTGAAGCAGTGTCCACAAAGAAACGTAGAAAATGAAGCAAAAGAATGTAGAAAAGAAGAGAATAAATAAATATGAAAAAATAAAAATAAGTGAAGTCTAAAAGATAAGTTTTGCAAAGAAGGTATACCAAGCAGAACATTTTTTGACCTTGATTACTAAACGTCGAGTTGAAAAGCGCCTAACTTTTCATCAAGGAAGTCTGGTTTTTTTTTCATTCTCTTTTACTGTTTATTCCGGCTCAAAATAAAAGCATATAAGCCAAAAATAAATAAATGAATCATAAGACTCTCTGTGTTGACTATTAAACTGTAAATATTTACTAATTGCAGTCCTGTCTTACATATTCTTTATTTTCAGTCAGCTGGTTAAGTTTCAAATGCTGCCTGTACTGAATGTGCTTCTATGGTATAAGTAAGCTTTTTATGTATACTTATATGTAAGGTGCACTGATACGTATGTGTAAACAGCTATTCAATAAGCATTTACGTATCACCTGTTGTACGTTTTTTCTGTCCTACGTTAGCGTTGTCTTGCAGTATATTTGACGTCAACTGTCAGTTTGGTAATGCTTATCAAAAGCAGAAAAAAAAGCAATTTGGCGACAAAATAAATTTTCTTGCCAAGTATTCAGTAATACTTCATCCAGTCTTTAAAAGGAATTTTCTAAAAACAGATGTACACGTCTCTAGAAGAGGTTTCGTTACTGAAATTAGTTTTACTTTTTGAAGTTTACCAAAACTTTAAAAACATGCATATATGTAATTCCAAGCTGTTTCTAATTTTGCTTTCATCAGCGTCAAAGTAAAAGGCAGCAATAAAGTTACGGTTGCTACGCGTTGCGATTTCTACTCAAATCACCGCATGTATTCGTTGCGTGAAAAATGTAATGACAGTTGCTCTTGACTGCCTATCATATGATTAAACAATAACCATTTATAAACATAAGCATGCATACGCATATCAGATAAAAAAATTATCTTTTAAATTAGAAAAATTTACAGTTTATTATCACTCTTTGGCCAATAAATGAACAATGTATGGGCTGGAGATGACACTTGAAGGAGCGGAGAATTTAAGAGTGAAAACTTTATCCGAGGTACGTGTGTCATTACAAGACTACTACAGGACCGACTACAAGTGATGCAAGAACAAAAAATTTCAAGAAACAATTGA